TTGTTTACACAATTGCAACGCTTACACCTTTTACGATTCATATTGCATAACGCGTGTTTATCGACGCGCACTGCAAGTGATTGCTTAACAACGCAAAATGTACGGATCGCTGCTACACGCGCGAGAACCTAAAGATTAGACTTTACCGAATTTATTACGGCGTGTTGTGGCATTGTATAAATATCTCCGAGTGCATTTCACTTCGAGTCACCGTCTCCGCGAATTATAGCATCTCTTTACTCTCAATTTGGTTACGAACTGTATTGTAACTGTACGACCTAAAAATAAGCGCGGTTTTAAACATCGAGCGCGTTATAATGTAATTGCCAGGTAGGATTTTAATTAATTTAACTTTAATGGAAGGTAATTACATACATCGTTATGAATTTATTTTCGCTGCAGGCCGTATCCATAAATAACGTGTTTTCAGAAAAGAGTTGATTATTTCGGGTTTCGCTGCGTATATTTTATTTACATAAAGTGTATGTTCTCTACACACCGCAGTGTAATTGCAGGCTTAATATAATCAGCGATCAGAGAAATTTCATACATTTCGCGCAATAACAACGCGTATGCGCGATCGGCCGTTCAGCATATAGAGAGCTTCAACGTTTCTTTTATTTTTCAACGATACGATGTTAATTCACATATCTCGTAAATGTGCTAGTCCCTTTGACATATATTTTACGATATATATGAGCATTTGCATTCTTAATTAATGATTATTTTCTAGAGTACGATGAAAAAATATTCTGTACACCAGTATAAAAGTTATTTATGTGTATTTTTTTACGTGACCGATACACATTCTTATGTCAATTACATTCTACTTTTTTCTTCGACGTATTGCGAATCAATCGTACATCGTTGTGTCGTCGACTGCTAAACGAAAAGTGCTACATTGCCGACGCGTTCAGAATTAAAAATAAAATTAAACCGAGCACTTTTCTGCCGTGCAACCTTCGTTGCAGCGTAAGTAAAGAAAAAATTCGACTGATAAAATGCTATTACGTGTGGCCCTTGATTATCACGCGATAATAGCCATTCGAGATTGCGGCTTCTGCCACCGGTTAACGATCGTTTCTTTCGATTTCGATTTGCGAGTTAATGAAGGGGAGAATCGCGAGAGGATTGCGACGGTGCGGGTTCGGTGTGGCCGGATGGGGCGGTCCGGACGGGGCCAAAGGTAGACCAGGACACACACGTGCGCACGGTCGGTTCATCCACTCGTTCATTCGTTCGTCCGCTCGTTCGCTCGTTCGCTCGTTCGCTCGTTCGTTCGTTCGTTCGTCGTTCGCGCAAACATACGTACATACATACGTACACGTATATTCGGGGCGATATCTCGGACGAGGCAAAATATTTACGAGAAAATTTCGCCGTGGGTGGCGCGGCTTCATGAATAATTTCGGTCCGCAGGAGACTCGTCAGCCGCGGGCTATGTGCTCGGGGCGCACGGTTCTAATTACGGCAACTGCAGAGCGCGCGTCTGCGCCCCCGGCCATCCCTCCAGCCGGTTTCCAACCTCCCTTTTCCTATCCCAGCACAATTTCCACAGAGCCCACATCCGTTCTGAAATGCTAGCAATCCTCCTCCCCCTGCGGCCCCTTGCCTCTCTCTCTCTCTCTCTCTCTCCCTCCCCCCCCCTCCTCCCCTCCCCTCTCTCCCTCTTTCTCTTGTTCGTCCTCCGCGTTCCGCGCGCTCCTTCCCTCGCTCCCTCTCTTTTGTAGCTCGAGGTGCACATCGACTATTACGTTGCAACCAATTTTTGAAAAGTTTCTGCGGGGTGTATATATATATATATATGTGTGAAACACACACATACATATACATATACGTTCGCACGTTTACGGAGAAGCAAACAGAGTTTGTCACGTTAGACCGCCAAGTTCGTGATTTACGCAATGTGAAGAATTGACGAGCGTTTATAAATGTCATGCATGAGTTTTACAGGGTTTCGATAACTCGACCTTTTCTCTTTTCGCTATTACGTGGACGCTATACGTAATTAAATGGCGGTTGTACCACCGTGTGCAACGGTTGTCGTTTGTATTTATGCTCATTTGATGCGTGAAATTGTTTATCTTAATCTTAGTTAAGTAGCACTAGACTCCGTCGTAAATTGAACGTTAAACGCAGCGGCGCATTAATTCGTCGCGTCGAGACGCGCGAGTCAGTAATGAAAGATGGAATCGAGAAGAAACGTATACAATCAAAGATTGCATTGCACTTTCCACGTCAACCACTTCATTACTTAACCCTTTCAGTCACGCTGTTCAGGACGCAAAGTAACTATCACGTGCACTATGGTTTTCTGTTTTTGAGATTGTTGAATTCAAATCTTAAGTGAAATTTTAAGAATTTAAAATGGCAGATTTATCGAAAGTATGCACCGATTTTCATGGAAAGTGTTGGACTTTTTCAATTTGTTATCAATCATATTGGGCCCATTTTGAGTTTACAAAATCTGACTTTATATTTGAATTTTGCGACCAAAAAGTCCCTTGTGTGTATCCATTTTCGTGAAAAGTGATGAAGTTTTGCTAAATCTGAACTGTCATTTTGTATCCGGCATCTTGAATTTTTCCAATTTGACTTTAAAGTCGAAATCAGCGATCCCAAAAGCATAGAAAAGATATTTTAGTATTTCCGATCGAACTTCTTCACAATTGAATTAAATGTCAAAAATGTTCTTTCTCGAGTTTCATTTTGTTTAGGATAAAACAAAGTTTACAACGTCGATGAAATAACGAAAATTCCAATTCTTAGGATGTTGTGAAATAAAAAAAATCAAGAAAAATTTCAAATTGTAGGAGTTATATAGCGGAAAGAAAACGAAATCATAAAGTGTAGTATATCACACGCGCTACTATGACTGAAAGGGTTAATTAAAGTAATTACTTTGTAGTTAAAACTACAAATTCAATTGATTACAATTAATCGCATCATGATGTGCTGAGGCTGAGATTTTATCTCATTTATATTAATTTGCCCGACTTTTTTTATCTGTCCAATCTCTCACGCATAATGGTCCATAATTTCAGGTACTTAACTCCTCGCGAACTGGTACATTTATTCTTCGGATTTCATAGCTCATTGTGTCAAGACGAGAAGCGCACTGACTCGCACTTAAGAATCAAGTGTAGCGTAGACTAGACGTAATTTAGGAATTCGTTAATTATGAGAAAAACTGCAAGTTTTCGAATAAGCTTCAGAATCTAAAAATAAAAAAAGAACGGGGAATTAAAGAATTTTTAAACATAGAAATCTCTTTAAGTTGCCAGTAATAGATAACAATAAATTTTTAGTCGATATTAACCGGTGTTTTAATACAGAAAATTTATTGCGAAAACTATTACCTCAGCCAGGGTTTGAACCTGGACTTCCCTTCTTTCTAGGCGTCTCACTAATTCGATGGCATGTGGTAATAATTGTCGCAATAACAGTATAAAGCTGACATCTTTATACAGCACTTACTTTTTATAATAATGAACTTTTTCCGTCATTATTGATACGACACTTTTTTACTTACGTTAGTGCTGAGGCTATTATAGCGAAGCCATAATTTCCATCTTTGGCTAGGTGCAGCGCGTAATTTATTTCAATATGGAATGAAGCTGTGGCGGCTTTTATGTAACCACCTCCACCCTCCTTGCATCGCCGCGTGATTATTCGCGACGCGAAGCGCATAATCGATCGTTACTATTGTTCGATGACGGCGGAATGCGACGAATGATTGAGCAATTGCATTGTCCCGCCGCCGTTTCTAAAGGCAGCGACACCCTCTCGGTCGTCTGGCATAGATTAAACTTTCTTTACCCGCGGTGTCGTGAGATCAGATTGACTTTCTATCGACTTCGCTACAGCTCAATCGCACGAAATGCCCCACGGACGCATGCGCGATTATTCGGTGACCACAGCCTCTCGCGAGAGGAGAACTTACCGCGATGAACATTTGAAAAAGTGACTCGGGGGGACGTTTAAGAGATTAAGGTCCTTAAGTTTCCCGCTCTCCGAAGAGAAGGAGGTCTTGGGAAATCTCCTAGCAGGAGCATAAACGAACAGGAGGACGCACAACTCGCGATTTCGAAACATTGGTGGATATAAAAGAGATTAATACGAGATGGCTCCGAGCGTGCAAAACTGTTATGCGATACCGCTTGATTTCCAGTCCGTTTCTATCACTAAAATCATCTGTATCTCCGTTAGACAGAATTTTCCGTAGCGGAACGCTCTTGGCCGCGCCTCGCGGGCTACAAGCGACATAATTAACTACGTGAAAGTACACCATTTCCATGCATGAATATCAGTTTGTCACGCGACGTCTCGTATTCTACGCGAGAGAACAAGCGAGAGAAGTAGGTTTTTCTAGATACTTTCCGCCGACAGTATCGCGGTAACGTGTAGTTTCTTTACCCGGAAGTCCTCGAACAGTGAGGCAACGGCGAAAAGTGCAAACAGCGTGCTGTAAAAATGTTCAAGTGACGTTAGAATGGGTTTGTGTAATAAGTGAATGTTCTCTCGAAGCGAGAACTACTTGGCGTAACGTAAATAATCGACATAAAGCTGTCTACAAATTCGCGTGACGACAATTACACTCTCGTAACGTGCTTGACGAAGAGTAAGGAGCAAAGCGAGTGCACGAGTTACGTCCCTGTCGATCTCGCGATAATAACTCCCGGGGTTTAATTATCGCGCCTGAGGTTTATGTCAGAAGGCAATCGTAACTCTGGCCGACGCAGTCGTCGTCATTCGAATCGCGCTATTACGTTAATCCCGCGGTCAATCCGTTCCCTTCCGCGTACGTAACGAGAGATTTATCGACAATTTATTAATCGCTAATTATTTGAGACATTTCGTAACAGCTCGCCAACGAGTCCGGGAACGGACGGACCTTGGCGGCGCGCACTCGCCATTCGCGTGAAATCCTGACGGAAACTCGAAGCTCGCATTCCACGATCAGGTCGGACAGTTAGGAAAAATCGACGTGACTCACTCACCGTTTCTGACACGTGGACTCCAGGTTGACGGTTATTCTCGTGTCCACGGCTGCGAATTGGAGGCGCGTGGGGTCCCGTCGCGAACGCGGAAACTTGCCACTGGCTGCGGAGCACCCGGGCGGAATTCTCGCGAGTACCTCCAGCTCTCGTGTCACGCACTGGACCACGTGGTTGCGTTCACGTGTCTTCTCGGCCGTGGGACAAAAGTGACGCGAGCCGCCACCGCGCACCACCGCGGCTTTCGTTAGACTGCGTACGCTCTCCGCCGTTGCGGCCCTCTCGCGCTACCATCTCCCACCACCGTTCTCCACTACCGCCGCCGTCCCACCATCGCCACCGTCCACCACCACCGACCACCGCCATCCATCGTCGTCCTCGTCCTTACCGCCAACCCACGTCGACTCGTCTTTGTCCCGCGAGCTTGCGGCGTTTCGGCAAGCGCCCCGAGCTTGCGACGATTCTCTCCGCTTGGACCGCACTGCCGCGCGCCGGTTTCAACCCCGTCCGATCGTGCATTTTGACCGTTTGTGTAAGATATAGCGATTGCACCTGATACGTTTATCATTTCTCTACGGACGGGAGTTTCGTCGTTGCCTGTCGACTTTTAAATCCATTTTAAACGATCCACGATTCGCGATGAAACTCGCAACAAAATTCTCTATGAAATGTTGAGCCAGTTATTTTGCATCGCTAAGTGTTGGCAAATGCCGAGTAATCTGTACAAGTCTGACCTTACGCGATACTTTTAGCTATCATTTTGTATTAACACATTGCAGATAATAAATTATTTTACAGGGTGTTATGTAATACCCGCCTCACCTCTTATTTATGGATCGAGCGGACTAGACTGTCGAAAAGTCCTCTACCATTTTGCAATTTTTGCAATGAGTTATTAATTATTGGAAAACGCTGTCTTAGTCCAATTCAAGCTCGCGGTGAGATGCGGCCGTCCCGCGATCGGCGTTGCTAGGCGCGCGAGGAATTGTTTATGACACACGGCAAGGGCTACGCGAGGGGGAAACCGCTGAGGGCATTGTGGTGTACAGATCTGCGGCATTACTGGGCATTACTTGGCAGTACTAGGCTACGTATAATACACATCCCTGCATGCCTAGCAACGCCGATTGCGGGACGGCAGCATCTCGCAGCGCGCTTGAATTGGACAGCGTTTTCTAATAATTAATAACTATTGCGAAAATTGCAAAATGGCAGAGGACTTTTCGACTCTGTGTAGTCCGCTCTATCCGTAAATAAAAGGTGAGGCGGATATTACATAACACTCTGTATATGTTATATAACAATATTAAAGAATTTCCACACTGAAAAAAATTTCTGGTTGAATATGGACGAATCAGATAATTCCTTTAGGATTTACCAGAATTCCTTTAGGATTTACCAGAATTTTTGTAGGATTACAGGAATTCTGGTAAATCCTAAAGGAATTATCTGATTCGTCCATATTCAACCAGAAATTTTTTTCAGTGCAAGATTAAAATTCCGATAACGTTGGTGTACGTTTGAAACAATTTGCCCAAGCGTCGATTTATAGAATCTTTTATTATAAGGCTGCTGAATAATTATCGCCTACGACTCATTACGTAAGCACCCGAGCAAGATAGATGTATTCGATAAATCTCTTGATTATACAGAGTATGACCTTTGCAAACGACACTCGCATCGGACGTTAGAATAATGCTGCCAATAATTTTTCTCCAGCCGATCAGAATTATCCTCACCGTAAGGGCGATGGTACAGTTCGATTTATCGGACGCAGCGTAAAGATGAAGTCGTGTAATTTACAAATAGAAATAATTACGGTTGATATGCCCTTGTGTCAACATCATTTTCATAAACGTCGGTCAACTGCTACCTGGAGAGCAATCGAGTCTCTCACTGGAAAGAAATTTTCGCTACCGTAGCTATTAATCATGGTTTGCTAAAAATATTTTACTGCCGTAACTATACATTTCTATAACACAGCAAATGGTTTGCTGCCGCACCCGATACAATAGGACACAGTAGCAAAATATTTAGCTATCACAACTAGATATTAGCTGTTCATATTTTGCAGCTGAAATTTATAGCGAATTCGGCAGCTTGCACTAGTGCGCACTGAGGCTTGTTTGCAGTCAATTCTTATATTTAAAGATCTTAAATATCTCTTGAAATATTTCTTAGCCAGTAAAATAATCTGTAGCAGCCATACGGATCATTGTTTGGCTAAACACTTTTTGAACATGCATTTAAGACAAACTTAAATATAAGAATTGACTATAAACAAGCCTTAGTGTGCACTCAGTGCGCACTAGTGCAAGCAATCGAATTCACTATTAGTTACCACGTGCAGCTTTTAGCTACGGCAGCTACATTGTTTTCCGCGTTAGATAAGAATATAGAAAAAAAAAATAGGGAGTCGACTAATTTCGTTAACAGTTAATCGACGTTTGTGGAACTCCCTCAGAACTAAAATTACGAAATTCAGCACGAGAAATGCTCCAAAAGTACTTATTGTTAGAGCGGTAGTACGGAAACTGTCTCCAACGTTACCCGTAAGAATCGTTTCAAGAAGCGACCCGGCGCACCTGACATTGTCGTCGAATAACCGAAGCATTTTCGACGACGGCGATCGGCGATTTCGTCTTGGTAAAACTACAATCGGTACCTCGTCCGTACGATTGGCCATCGGCCATCGAGAATAATGGAGCAGTTGGCGAGAGCCGATATAAGGGGAACCGAGCGCGGCTCGGGCCTCGGTCTCTGTCGTATTCGAGGTGCCCCGGGGCCGAAACGGCCACGGCCGACAACATCGTTTCAGAATGCCCCGGGCACTTCCAAACCCACCGGACGATGTTGCTCGCATACGTAAACGCCAACTTCGTCAGGGACAAAGTGACGCTCGTATATATGTTGATCCGGTCGACGGGGCGCGACGGGGAAAGAGCGACTTTGCCATTTCGAGACTCATTTTAACGTCCGCCTGGGTCGCGTTCGCGGCTGGTCCCTGTCGTTCGCCTTAGGCGTGTGCCCGCCGGCCAATTACGGGACGTTCCAAATCTTGTACGACGGTTCCTCGCTTTCGGAACACGAACGCGTGTTTTAAACGCGTTCCTCTGCCGCGCGGTATAATTTCATATAATTGTGCAATTGCGTTATAGTTTCATTATCATGGAGAAGACAGAAGTGACACTCTGTCATATGTATAATATATTCTTACTTAATTGTACACGGAGAGAATTTTCTCTTAACATTTCTCCTGAAAATCATGCGGGACGACATAGCATTGCGGAGAATTTTATGAGAGTTGTAATTATACTTATTGTTGGTACGCGTTTTATTAGTAAAACGTATGGCAAAATTTCACAAAACTCTCGTAAAGTTCTTTAAAATGCCACGTTGTCCTACAATTACACGATTTTCAGGATAAATTGTAAGAGAAAATTCTCTCCGTGTAGGAAGAGTCAGAGAATCGATTAACCTCCAGCCAGCAGTTAACCGCCGCTTGTGAAAATGATCTTAAAAGGCACTTATCAACCGTGATTATTTCTATTACTGATAATGTAACTAAATCTCTATTTATTAAACTGAATTGAATTTAAGTTTAGCAAGAATTTTGTCGGCGAATTTAGGCTCGGAGTTTTCTCTGAAAATGTCAGGTAACAATTTATTGGCGTTTTACTGTAAACAGTAGTGGAATATTTAGCAGTGTTAATATCTTCGATTTACTAACTTTAGCCAAGTACTCGAGTGGAAAAGGAACGTGTACAAGTGACACGCCAAGGCAAGGTCTTTATACTATGATTGATAACATTACGTTTCACGCCCGAGCGTGAGAAGACAGATGTAGACGCTCAATTCACAAAGTAAGCACTGCTTAAACATGATGGATAGGCAGATCGATCGATCTTCCGAAGCAACATATTCCGAAATGGATTTCAGCGTGGTAGGGAAGAGCAATCGTTCATAATATTGCATTTAACTTTCGTTCTTAGCTTGTAATCATTTAGTTCACGCCCATTAGCTCATTTTTAATCAATTCTTACAGTGTTCCATGTCGCTCGCCGATATCACCTTTCGTGTAGAGCAAAGTTTTATTATCATAACGCGATAACGTCTTTCACGCTGCGGCGAATGAATTCCCGACAAAAAAAAAGTCGAGATCCGGAAACGCGCGCGCGGGAGGGAACCGTTCCAAGGCGAGGGATTGCGCTGCGATTAATTAGCCGGTCACCGGTAAGCAGCGCTTTCGTCTCGACTCGTTTAGCGGATACGTAATTTGCGGCAGAAGATATCCCGACGGCGGGATGGGAAGTGAACAAGACGGAGGAAGGAAGGAGGTTGCGGAGGAGGACGGGGGGGGGAGGAGGAGAACGTGGGGGAGATCGGGACAAGAGAAGGAGGACGGGCATAATGGTGGTCACATGCCCGCGGGCGCCTCGCGGAGGAGAAGAGTAAGAAGGAGGCGGGAGAGGAGGCTGCGCGCTCCGGTCCAGAGAGAGAGGAAAATAATGCGATGTTTTTGTATCATACGATATACAGACTCTCTGCCGGCATGGCGGACCGGTATACGCCCGGAGCATCCAGCGGGATGTAACGAGAAGAGTCCGAGTATTGCCCGTGGGTCCACATATTTTAGGGTGAAGCCTCCCCCCCCCCCCTCCCCCCTTCGCCTCCCATCGCCCTGGCTCTTCTTCGCCCTCTGGTTTGAACCTACGTGTCTCTGAAACGGGTCGTGCCGTGCCGAAGGCGAGAGCCTCGCGCTCCTCCACCTATCCGTCCAGCTCTTATTCACTTCCCTCCCGCCTCCCCCCCCCCTCTCTCTCTTTCCTCCCCCGACCCGGCTCTTGCTTTTCGTTGTCTTCCATATCTTTTATTCTTCTGCACAGATTTGACGATTTTTACAAATCGCTATGCAGATTTCGCAACTGCATGGGGCACGCATCTTGGAATCTCAGAAGGTCCTATGAATAACTTCGAGTTTTCCTTAGTACAAGAGGAAGAGGGAAAATCCGTTCTGCCGATGTCTACGAGTTTCCATGTTAAATTAATACACGACAGGCTTTTGGGGTAAATTT